CTCAGTTGCAATCCCCTTGGGCTTCCCATCACCAAATCACCCATGTGCCATCACCATAGTCCAGTGCATTTCCCTCCCCCACTATTTTTGATCCCATTTCCCACTCCACCATCTCAAAATGTCTCTAGTATATAGCTGTTCATCTTTATCATTATTTTCTTGCCTGTTCCATTATATTCCTGCCATGAGAGAAACCATCTGGTATTTTTCCTTTTTTTTCTGGCTTATTTCACTAAGCATGACCTTTTCCAGTTCCATCCATGTTGCTGCAAAAGACATGTGTTTCTTTTGTTTGTTTGTTTGCTGAGTAATATTCCACATCTTTTTAATCAAGTCATCCACTTTTGGGCATTTGTATTGTTTCCATGTCTTTCTAATTGTGAATAAAGCAGCAATAAGCATGGGGATGCAGGTATTTTTTTGAATCAGTATTTTTGTATCTTTTGGGTAGATACCTAGAAGTGGGATTGCTGGGTCGTGTGGAAGCTCCATGATTATCAGTTTGAGGAATCTCCAAACAGTTTTCCATAGTGGTTGTACTAGTTTGCATTCCAACCAGCAGTGCAGGAGAGTTGCTTTTTCTCCACATCCTCGCCAACATTTGTTGTTGCTAGTTGTTTTAAGCTGTGCCATTCTCACTGATGTGAGGTGGTATCTCATTATGGTTTTAATTTGCATTTCCCTTATTACAAGTGATATTGAGCATTTTTTCATATGCTTGTTGGCCATCTGCATTTCCTCTTTGGAGAAGTATCTTCTTAGCTCTTCTGCCCATTTTTTGATAGGGTGTTTATTTTGTTGAGTTTCATCAGTTCTCTGTATATTTTTGTGATCAATCCTTTATCGCTAGTTTTGTGTGAGAAAACTTTTCCCACTCAGTAGGATGTCTGTTTGCTTTTTGTAATGTCTCTTTTGCTGTACAGAAGCTCTTTAATTTGATATACTCCTATCTATTTATCCTTGCCTTCACTATCATTGCATTGGGTGCTGTATCTTCAAAGATGTCGCTGAAGTGTATGTCGTATAGTGTTTGGCCCATCTTTGCTTCCAGGTATTTTATGGTTTCTGTTCTTATGTCTATGTCTTTAAAACACTTAGAGGTGATTTTTGTGTATGGTGTGAGGTAGTGATCAAGTTTCATGTCCTTGCATGTAGCTTCCCATTTTTCCCAGCACCATTTGCTGAACAAACTTTCTTTATTCCATTGTATCTTCTTTGCTCCTTTGTCAAAGAGTAGTTGTCCATAAACCTGTGGGTTGATATCTGGGTTTTCTATTCAAATCCACTGGTCTGTATGTCTGTTCTTGTTCCAGTACTATGCAGCTTTGATTATTATGGCTTTGAAATATAGCTTGAAGTTTGGATTGTAATGCCTCCATTCTCTTTCTTCTTAATCATGAGTGTTTTGTCTATTTGAGGTCTTTTGTTGTTCCATATGAATCTCATCAATATTTCTTTGAAGAATGTCATTGAGACTTTTATTGGGATGGCATTAAATCTGCATATCACTTTTGGTAGAATGGCCATTTTGATGATGTTTATTCCTCTGATCCATGAGTAGGGATGTCTTTCCATTCCATGGTGTCTTCTTGAATTACTTTTAATAGTGTTTTGTAATTTTCTTAGTATAGGTCTTTTACCTCTTTTGTTAAGTTGATTCCCAGGTATTTGATTCTTTTTGTTTTAATTAAAAAGGGGATATTGTTGTTGTTGTGTGTGTGTGTGTGTGTGTGTTTTCTGTTTCTTCTGATTGGTTGTTTGTGTATAGGAAGGCCTCTGAATTTTGTGTGTTGATTTGATATCCTGCTACCTTACTAAACTGGTTGATGGTTTTGATTAGTTTCTATGTGGAGTTTTAGGGTTTTCCATGTAAATTAACATATCATCTGAAAATAAGGACAGTTTCACTTCTTCTTTCCCTATTTGGATTCCTTGTATGTCCTTTGCCTGTTTTATTGCTCTGGCTAGAACTTCCAATGTTAAGTTGAAGAGCAGTGGTGATAGTGGACACCCTTGTCTTGTTCCTGATCTCAAAGGAAAGGATTTCAGCTTTTCTCCGTTAAAGATAATATTGGCTGTGGGTTTGTCTTGTATGGCTTTTATCATATTGAGATACGTTCCTTCTATTCCGAGGATTTCGAGGGCCTTAAACATAAAATGCTGTTGAACATTGTTGAATGCCTTCTCTGCATCTATTGATATGATTATGTGGGTTATTTTTTTCTGTCAGCTGATGTGATGAATTACATTAATTGACTTTCTGATGTTGAACCATCCTTGTGCTCCTGGAATAA